ACTACTACTACTACTACTACTACTACTACTACTACTACTACTACTACTACTACTACTACTACTACTACTACTACTACTACTACTACTACTACTACTACTACTACTACTACTACTACTACTACTAGGGTTGTCCGGTGTTCTTGTTCCGCTAAAAGAGGGTGTAGAGGGTGTAAGGGTTCGGGTTCGGGTTCGGGAGCGCGCCCCGAACAAAACAAAATATCTATCTATATATGTATAAACATATATATATATATATATATATATATATATATATATGTCTACAAGAATCTTCAGCCCCCCGCGGCCTCGGGCGAAACTGTCGGGAGACGCGGGCGACGCGGCATGCTGCTGCGCAGGGGTTCGGGCGTGTTGTTTTCCGCGTGGTAGCGCGCCGACTCGGGGCGCTCTGAACACACCACGTAAACATACTACACAGAATGCCCACGTCGCCCGCGTCTCACGCCAATTCCGTTCGAAACCGCGGCTCCCCGCGGCCTCGGGCGAGCGTGACGTGAGACGCGGCGCGGTTGACGCGAGGCTTGGGCGTCGTTGTTTGCTGTGTGGTTGCGCGCCGACTCGGGGCGCTCCTGGAAACACTACGTAAAAACACTACGCAGAATGCCCTCGTCGCCCGCGCCTCGCGCCAGTTCCGCCCCAATCCGCAGCTCCCCGCGGCTTCGGGCGAAAGTGGCGAGAGACGCGGGCGACGCGGCATGCTGCTGCGCAGGGGTTCGTCAGGAATCTTCAGGAATCCTCAGGAATCCTGAAGATTCTGGAGGAATCCTAAGGAATCCTGAGGAATCCTCAAGAATCAATTGTAATCCTCAGGAATCCTCAGGGAATCCTGAATCAAGAATCCTGAGGGAATCCTGAGGAATCTTCAGGAATCCTCAGGAATCCGCAGGACCTTCAGGAATCCGGAGGAATCCTTCCTCAGGATTCTTGAGGACTCCTCAGCAAACCTCAAGAATCCTTCAAAATCCCTAGGAATCCGGGGGAATCCGCAGGACTCTTCAGGAATCTTCAAGAATCCAAAGTAATCCT